GGGGTTGACCTGGGAAGACATCTGTGTGTTGGGGGACGGCGAGCGTGTTCGAAACCGATACAAAAGTTATACCAGTAAGAGAGAAAACGATAACTACTGAGACACATCTAAACAAGCTAGTTGAAAATAAGGTGTCAGATGTGAGAGACATACATGACCACTAACGAAACTTACGTCATTATGAATGTTTCAAAGACGTCGCCTACCTAAAACAGTAGAATTCCGCTACTTGAAGTGCCTTTTTGCTAAATTTCACTTCTCCCGTGGACGCAGATACTAACAACGAAACACACGAAACCAGATAACGATCGCTAACAGACAGCGTGTCGAGGAAACGACAGAATGCAGGTGATAGTGATTCTGTGATTTACAGTTCCACCTTCAGCAAAAGGAAGCCGAACACTCTATAAGGGGTACGAGGAAAGCTAAGAGATAGTTCTAATTTAACTTCAGAAAGCACAAAGACGTAAAGACGCCAGTTAGGATCGGCGATAGAATCCCGCCTCCTACCGAGAATACTCGATAGAAAGTTCACATTGCAATGAGACGGTTGCCAACGGACGGGACGAGGACTGCAGTTCGTCGTAGTACGATTACAAATGCAAATATTGGTTCTTTAAGATAGCTATATAAACTGTGGTAGTCGGTTAGTAACATTTGGTAAGATATCAGAAATTCCCCTAATTGATGTGGTTTGAATAAAAAACATAAGAACATAATAAAAAGATAAAAAAATAAATATGGGAAAATATGAAAAATCGAGTTATGTTTCGCGAAGTATACCAGTCCGGGTAGGATGGATTGTCCTTAGAGAATGGATAACGGAGAAGATCCAGTAATTCACAGAGATCTCATAGTCCAGACAAACCACCAAGGGTATCAGGTGTTTTTTTTAGCAGTCCACGACTCGAAAGCCCGATGGATTACGGGCAAGGAGACCTTAGTTCGATAGCTCAATGCTAATCAATCCGTCTGTCTTGAAACAGGTGTGGTAAATATCTACGTCCAATTTCTGAAAGGAAAATCATGTCGCATGTCAAATTCTGACAATTCAAATTCTGTCATTCCTGAAGCAAAATACTTAAAATAAATAACACGAGATTGAC